GTAGCTAAAGACACTCAACAACTACCAATATTCTCTATCATTATGAGACAGACAACCAGGCGAGCGCGTGTGATATTATACACTCTTTCGTTCTGCCTCCGCTCCTGGCACAGGCCGCCTCCCACTACCACGCCAACATCGTATTACCCACACCCCCCCCCCCCCCCCCTTGCCCAAAGTGGACAATCACTGCACGTGGGGCTGAGGGGTGATTGCATGAGGAGAAAAATGACAATGGCCCTGAACGGTAGAGGACGAGGCAGGAGGAGACTCCTGGCACACTGTTGCTACTATCTATGGCTGTGGGTAGACCGAGGCTAGGGTTGTGCCTGCGACAGCAATAATTTCATAATGCTTATAAAAAGGAATAAACAGAGACTCGACAGGTCCATCGCTTTCGAAAGCGAATTGCAGATGCTCTTTCAAAGTAAAACTCTTTTAAGCATGGACAATGCCTTATTCTTTTATGTGTATTTATGATCATATTTTGAGCTACTATTGAAGGATTCCTGTCATGAAGGAGCTGACTCAGCCGTGTGCATCGTGTGGCCAAACAGAGTGCATCCCCCTGTGCCCCCACGAGGAGTAATCAACCCTTCTGCCACCCGCCGTGGGTAGTCCGTTAGTCTGTTCGCCACGGAGTTTATAGTCGGCGCCTAGGCACACATGTTGTCATCATGGCTATGGCCATCCTCATACCCATCCACATCATCATCATCATCATCATCATCATCGTCCTGGTGGTCCTCGTGGTCATGGCTGGAAACCCGCTGAGCATGCTCATGAATTTCGACTGTATGGCAAATGATGTCCGAGGGGGCGGGTGCCCCAGCTGGAGCAACGCCGAGCCGCAGAAGCGAGAAAAAAACGACTGCAAATTTACTCAATTTTCTCACCACCCCCCAGTCTGCGGAAAATTTTATAAATTTTGTTTGCCAACTGTGGTGTGTGTGTGTGTGTGTGTGTGTGTGAGGGAGCGTGCGTGTGTGTTTTTGGGTTTCTGTGCGGTTGATTTGGTAGTTGTTGGACATTTGTCATGGCTGCAGACATTTTTGGTGCAGATTCCGGCATGTACATGCGTAACATAACGCAGAGCAGAGCCACTCAAAATTGAGAGTCAAAATTGTAAGGCACTAGAATTTTTATTCGCTTTACTTAAATGGGTTGAATTTATGCGTGTTCCTGGAAGCAGCTCTAACGGGAAAACGGTCTGTTAGCGATCTATGTACGTTAACAGCACACTGTTAGGGGCCACTGAGAGCGGACCCGAGCTCGCTCTCACGATCCACACGACTCTGCTCTCAAGTGGACTGAGATTGTAAGCTAGTGCCTGCCGTTCAGGGGATTATAGCAGAGGCCGGCAGCATCGTGTGTGTTATTATAATCTTATGATTATTTATTTATTTCAATATGCTTAAGAACAAACTAAAATTTAATTAATACGTAAGCCCAAAGAGATCGAAATCAAAAGCAGTCGGGGGATACCTCTTTACTACTCTGGGCGAACCGTGTGCTGCAGTGACGAAACGTTACGTGGCGCCAATTGACTTGACGTAACAAAATGTTTTGCATGGCCGTTCGTCCGGCGACAGACTTGACATTGATTTCGGACCTCTCGGGGGGCATTGAACTTGAACGTGTGTGTGTGTGTGCTGGGTGATTATTGTATTTGTTAGTGGTTTTGCGGGCAGTCGTAAGCAGACCGCCACTGCTGTTTGTGTCAGATCTCCGGTTTTCGCTGCTCCCCTCTTGAACATCCTTCTAGCGCTTGCGCCAGGAGAGGGGCTCGTTCTCGAGCTCCTTGGCACGTAGATCGGCCTCGTGGTTGCGACGCATAATATCGAAATGCTCCATCTCCGAGACCAGTGCGTAGCGATTGCTCTGCTTGCTCAGGTATCCTTTTTGAACTGCCAATTGCAGTGCGTGTGGCACATGGCGCTTCAGCTCCAACTCCGGTCGCTGGAGGCGCATCATAAGAGTATTGATGATCTCCGGATAACTGACGGACCGTTTGCTATCCCGCACCAGAGCCAACACAGCGCGGAATAGGTCCGGCATTGGCTGCTTGTGGTAGCGCTTAAACGGACGCGGGGCAAAGAAGCTCTGAGCCATTGTCCCAGGGACAAAGTCCATGTCCATGCCCATGGTGGCGTTGAGTCCCACTGGCGTTCCCAGCAGAACCTGCGCTGCTGCCTGTGATGTCAGAAGTCCAGGCTGGAACTCGGGTGCCGCGGCATTCAGCTTTGAGCGCTTCGCCGTGAGTTCCATGGGAGTAGCACGGCACGTGGGTTTGGCCACCAGGCCCATCGTGAAGTCGATGCCAGCGGGTAGGGGGCTGTCTCTTTCAGTGGCTTTCATGGTGTTGGCACCAGGGGCGTGGCTCAGCCTGGGTCTTACCGCCGTGCAGCGGTTGTCCGAGGGGCCCAGGAGCATCGGCACAATGGGATACTTTACATGTGTCACTGGACTTTGATTGCTGCTCGATTCGAGGTCCTGCGATTCGCTGGGATAGTCAAGCATCAACTGGTTCTGGGAGCGCCAGTCCTTTGAGTCGCCAGTGCGGACGCTATTGCAGACACTCTGCTCACCATGGCGTCGAAAATTGTAGAACCCTTTTCTGTGCGGATTCCACTGCGGATTGCGATCGTTATCCCCAACGTTGTCCAGCTTGTTGAAGCGATTGGCTCGATTGCAGTACGCCTGGTACGGGTACGGATGATACCATTGATGGCGGCCACTATTGTAGCTCTGATTTGTGAAGGTTTGGCTCTTGATCTGAGTCTGGGTGTGATTCTTGTGGGACTCCAAGTATAACTTGCGTTGGGGGGGTGCCATGCGCTGGGGCACCGTACAGCGGGGACTGATGTGCAAATTCTGCATCGCCAATTTTGCTTTCTTGCCTGGTTTGCGTCTCGGCCTGGAAGCTGCCGGATGATACAGAGCGAGGGAGAGAGAATTTGTGTTAGCGGTTCGTATTAGATTGGGTGCGTAAATGTGAGTAAATTTCGCGTAGACACGGTTGAGCCCAACGATCGTTAAAATCTCTTTTAAAACATTTATAACATTTGTTTTATGTATAGCCAAAAATTAAAAATTTTGCTCCAATACGGATGTATATGTCGATGTGGGAATATTGTTGGAATGAATGAATGTGAAGTATGTGACCCTAGGCAAGGTCCAGGAAGTATTACCACAAGCCTACTTGTTTTCAAATAAAGTTCTTTAACATGTCACATTTGACGAATGGAAAGTTTCAGTTTCAGGGAGTATTATTTTCCGTGTGGATCATGAGAGCAAGCTCTTAAAGTGGGTTGCATACGGTAGCGGCCTCAAGCTGTTAGCGGAGAGTGTCCACAAGCTCAGAATCTGTTAGCGGAGAGCGATAACAGGCTGTTGGCGGCTGGCGGCCACAAGCTGTTAGCGCAGAGCGATAGCAGACTGTTACCCTCCGGTCTTAACAGCGCTGTTGCTCCTTTTGAGCTGCTGCCCGGTTCCCTGAGAAAGTGCTTTGCTATGCGGGGGAATTCTGTGGCTGCTGCTGTCTTTTGTGAGGTAGAAACCTTTCGGTATAATTGTAAGAGTAAAAAACAACAAGCAACAGACTGAAGTGAGGCAGCGACAGCTCGCGCAAAAATGACTTTGCCGCGGGCTCTCAAAACACGCCCAATCCGTTTACCCAAAACGATGTAAAACAATATGGCCATGGGGCAGGGTGACAGAGTGGCGGGAGTGGCGGTTGGCAGGGGGCAGAGTTATGCTCTAAATAAATAAAAAGGGGCGTCAGACCCCCACCCTACCACAATTTCATCGAGCCAAGTTTGTTTAGCCTTCGTGATGAGGTGCGAGAAATCACAAAAATTGGATTTTGTGCTTTGAATTATGGGCGGACCGGGCGGACCCAGCGGACCTCGGAACCGCTTCAGTGGACGGAGGGTGCCCGAAGGGTTTGCTTTTGTTGTTGTTGTTGGTTTTCGGTGTTTCGGGGTTTTGGTTTTGGTTTTGGGGTTCTTTCTGTGTTGCCGAATGCCTTGAATTAGCATTCTGCTTGGCATTCAATTGGATTGCTTTAGAATTTGTGGAAGCATTGAGGGATAATCCAGCGATAATGTGGCGTTAGAATGCTGGTATGCGCACCCTTACCGATTGGCACACCAATTCCAGCAGCCTTTCAGTCAGTTTTAATGATGCCGAGTCACTCGACGGGTCTCTAAACAGCTTCTGCTACCCGCAGGACCTGCTCTGACTGCTGCCCAGTGTTGGGCAATTTCACAATTTTCAAATTACACACCACAAAATCTCATTTAGCTGAGTAAAGTCAGTTGACTGGACTAAGCCCTGCACTAAAGTCCCTATCCCCCTTCGAGCTCCGCACTCTGCACTCTGCACTCGAATACACACACAAATTACTAAATGAGTTGCACCAGAGGTCCTGTCGGAGGAGGAGGAGCTGCTGCTGTGTGTTTAGTGTGTGTGTGTGTGTGTGTGTGGTGAGAGGAGGTGTGGGGGAGGGGGCGTGTGCAGCATCATTGTAATGTGCTTGCCTCACGCTCGCTTGCCTCGGCCAAGGGGCGTGAAAACAACGCACAGCTCGAGTCCCTGGTCTCCCCGGTCTTCCTGGCTCGAGGCGAATGGCAACAGTCCAAACAGGTATTATCACACATGTGGGGGGTGAGCCCAGGACGCAGGACGGAGAGCGGAGAACGGAGGGGCGCCCCCGGACACGATGTGCGACATGCGACGTATGGGCTAAGGACATAAGCGTGACTAAACCTCAAAAGCACTGACTTCCGTTGCCCCCGAGGAGGCTGGGAGAGGAGGAGCTGGGCTGGGCTGGTCTGGGCTGGAATGGGCTCCTAGAGGGTCCGTTGTTGGCTGGCCGTATCCTGTTTGGGTCCTTTAAATACCAGTTGGTGTCGCAACAATCAGTGACCCGCCCTCGCTCTCTCTCTCTCTCTCTCTCGCTTACGAATACACCTACACCAATACTAATGGCAATTGGGAAGCACTCACAAAACACACAAAGTTGGGGAGGAAGTGGGAGGAATACACTTAGGATACCCTACCCGAAGGAAATGAAGGAGAGCTACAGGAGAGCTTCTGCAGAAGTTTTGAGCGGGAGAAAGTGTCTTGAAATCTCTCTAAATATATTTATGGATATATACTTTCCCGGCGGGAGTCGGCAAGGGTATTCAATTATTCGGAGAGTTCTGTGCTCTTCCCGCATGGCCCTGCCATTACCGTGTAGAATGGACCAACTTTACCATATGCTGGACCGAGCACTCACACACTCACAGGGCACCGATGATGAAGAGGAATAGAAATGGGTTGTGGGCTTTGGGCTTTGGATTGTCGATGAATAGGGGCCATGGGGGATGGGGGTGGAGGCAGCTTTGCGGCGACTGAGCGACTGCCAGCCCGAAGGTGACACCATATCAAACACAGGAGCGCGATTGAGGTCAGCACAGCATCTTAGGCGGCGAATCCTTGTTGATATAACCGCAAGCTCAAGGCTCTCATTGGCAGCCATCACACCTTCGAAGTCCACCCCGAGGATCAGGTGGTGGTAGCGGTGAGTTGCATTTCAATTAGCTCGCTTAGCCAGCTCCAGCTGGAGTGGGACGACAAAAGCGAAGGCAAAGGGGTTGCTGGTGATAGCGATTGTGTCCTGCAGGCGCTCAAATGGGATTGCCATAGGATTTGACATCTGCACAGCAGTCCACCGGGAGGTAGTTGTCCAGAGCTGATTGAATGTCTGGCCTCGGGTTTGACTTTACTCTCGATTCCATGTAGCATGAACGATTTTTGCGATTTGCCAGAGTTTTACTTAAAAGAATTTGGAATGAAGGCAGAAACTCTTGAGGGTTCAATTCATTTCATTATTTGTTTATATCAATCGAACCAGCAGTAAGTCCGTGAGTCAGCACTGCACAGCGCATCGCTAACTAGCTATTGTACTGGGATTTGTGTTGCTGTGGCAAATATCTAGAGCTCATCATGATTGTTTCGTAATTGGAATGCGACAATGGCAGGCAAACTGGCGAAGGAATGCTCTCTGCTGGAAGCTCGAAGCTCGAAGCTGGAGATGGAGATGGCACTGTAAATGGAGATGGAGTGGAAGGCATTCCACAGAATGCAGGACAATAACAGCAGCAGTGCCGCATGCCACCAACAACAGCAACAGCAACAGCAACACCAACCAACCGACAACGACTGACGATGAGAGGATGAGAGGATAAGGAGGATGAGGAGGAGTGTGCTGCTGCTGTGTGGATGCCAACTCAACCAACAATTTGCTTCAATTATAAAAAGCGTCGCGACAAAGTGGCGCCAACAGACGACGGGCGGTAGGACGGGGTGGAGGATGAATGGATGGAGGGATGGGCGGAAGAGTGCATCCAGGCGTAGGGGGGCGGCGTGGCAGCAATGCTGATGCTCCTGCTGATGAAATGGGTAAACACTGGTGGATGGACCAGCGGTATGGGCTGCTGCGGCCCTGGGGTTGGCCTGGTAATCAGCATGGCGACGCAGTCGCTCCTTTGAGCCAACTCTCGGCGAGGAGTCAACGACTGAATGACGCAGTTGGCCTAGACCGGAATGAGTAGAGCTGGAACTGGAACTAGGACAGGGATACGCGGATGGGGGACACAGAGTGAGACAGAGAGTGCGTCTGAGAGTGGGAGTGATGCGACGACTGGCGTCAGCAGAGCATTCCCTTTTCTGCCGCCTGATGGACGCTCGTATTGCGGTGGCCAGTCCTTCGTCATCCAACTCCTGTGCTGTGCTATCCTGTCCTGTCCCATTATAATTGTGTGTTTTGTGCAATTATCAGGCAGGGATCAGTCTTCGATATGCAGCAACTCCCACTCCACTCCACTGGCTGGGGGCTGCACTCTTATCGCATTTTGGGGGGCACTCTCAAAATGATTCATAAATATCACTAATCAACGCTGGAGTTTTCCAGAAAACTCCTGCACAGGCAGCAGGAGCTGCCTTTCATTTGAGTTGAGTTTTAGCTGCTGCCACAGAATGGCAGCACGAGTGGCAGGAGAGGGTCAGTGCCATTTGTCATTGCAGCTTTCAGCTTGAACGGGGGGCCATGGACATGGACATGGAGGAGTCTGGACACTGGCACTGCCACTGCCACTGCCCAGAGCTGAAGAGTTTAAATGTTAATAGTTCACAATTCTGCTTGATCCTTCTCTCTCTGTCTCTCCCTCCCTTGCTGACTGTGTGCCTGGCTGTAAAGTTGCGTGACTATGGAATGCTGAGCTCAGTGCCAGGTCCTCGCACACGTAGGGGAGATTAGTCCGTGGCTGGAGTTCTCCTGCAAGTGTAAAACTGCTGATGGTATGCCATTGCCATGGTCCTGGCTGGATGTGTGTGTGGGAGTGTTTTGTAGCTTTGAGTATGGACAAAGGCCGCTACTACACGAAAAACGAACGGAGTAGCATTTCCAGGCAAGCTCGCCGGAGTGACAAAGAATGTGCAGTAGCAGCAAGGCTCCACAGCAAAAGCATCCTAACAGCAGGCAAATATTTGTTTTCCAGTCTTCCAGTCAACATTTTCCAGCCCAAGATATTCGGAAAAGGGCAAACAATCAGAGACGTGACGAGCAAAAGAGAAGAGACGAATGGAAAAGGTCAGCCAAAGGCATACCCACAAAGTCGGGGCACCTAAAGCCTAATCCCGATTTTGTTATTCGATTGTCAATTACACTTTTGAAACATTTCCAATACCAAAACTTCGAAGAAAGCAGAGCCTAAAGCATTGGAATTTAAATGATTTACAGCCTTTCTGGTTGAGAATTAATTAAACACAAGCTCATGACATACAAAAAAATATATTAAAAATCGTTGAATACTTCCATTTTGACTCGATGTATCTTCAGCGGCACAGGCATTGAAATGGAATTTAATAAAACATCAAACAAAAGTCAAACAGATTTATCTTACTCCCTCTTTGGGTTTTATATTCTTGTTTGCATATTGACAAGTCTGTTGTCTCAGACTTGGCACAAAATCAAAGTCCAGATTACCAATTCGCAGAAATTTGTCTTTGTCTCATGGTTACCTTGGAACTCTCCTATAACTGCAGTCTAGGCTATTGTTATTATTTAATTAGTATTGATTCTCTCGTCAAAATACATTCCACCACTAACAACAAAAAAAGGACTAGACCCGCCCCTCGAGTGTAATTAAATGAAACTATCAAATTAGCATAGAGGCGGCAACCTTCTGGATATCGAACGGGAATGACTGACAGAGTTCTCCTAATTAATGCTGCCCCAAAATACGAGCCCATCCAACGGTAATGCTAACAATCATTTAATTTCAGGTTAATTGCATAGAATCTGGTTTGCCGTTGCCCCATAAATTGTCGGTGTGTCGCTGGTGCCTGCTGGTGTTTTGTGTAATTTATTTGCATATTTCAGTGGAGCGTAGTGACAGGCCAGAATTATGCTACAAAATGCTAGGAATGCCATTTCACCCCATCCCCGTTGCTCGTATCCACTTTAATGGAGGACCAAGACGGTAACAAAAAGGGGAAGGCACCCGGCCAGCCAGCTGGGGGGGGGGGGGGGGGGGGCTAGGCGGGTTGAGGGTTTGAGGCATACAAAAACTGCTTTTTGCTCTCCTCTCTCTCTCTCTCTCTCTCGTTTGGCTGCTAAACGCATTTACGTGTCAAAACTAATTTAGTGTGTGCCGCCAGTCCCTCTCTCCGCCACTCCACATGGTGCACGAAACGATGTGGAATGGGTAGCGGAAACGGAAATGGAAACCCATACGCATTCGCATACGCATACGCAGTGGGGGACGCAGCAGCGATGGACCATGTTTTGCTTATTTATTTGCCGGGACTCTGTTGCATGCACCCCGCCAAAGAGTGTTGCACGCCCCCTTGCGTGGCCTTACGATAGCATTTCTCACCTAATAAAATTACAATGGAAACACCCTGGAGCGTACGCGTACACGTACCACCCCCAAAAAGCCGAAGGACTAAAGGCCCAGCCTCCACCATCGACCCCTCACATGCTGCCATCTAACCCACCCGCAGACACCCACACCCACCCCATCCTGCTGGCTGTCCTTTTTCTTTCCTTTTTGATGTAAATTTAATTTCGGTTTTCACATTTTGAGGTTTTCATAGCCACATGCTGGTGCAAGGGCGTGGGAGAGCCCTGCCAGAGTCCAGAGTGCCGGAGTGCTGTGTGCCCTGAGTCCTGAGTCCTGTACAGTGAGCTTCTGAGTGAGTGTCCGTATCCTGTCCGTCCTGCCCCTGTCATGTCTCCGCTTTCTCTCTCTCTCTCTCTCTCTCTGTCTTGCAATGTGTCGTGTCCCCTGGGAGGACTCGGGGAGCATAGTCAGCTGCCGTAATGCTTCTTTCATCGTTGTTTCCTTCACAGCTCGCAGGCTCCATGGCTGACGGCTCATCGCTGGGATGGATGCTCTCTCCTGTTCCTGGTCTCTCGCTCCGTCTGTCATCAGCGTCGCATATTGTTCGGCTCAGTCCATCCCAGTTATGCCCCGTACCCATCCCTCCTTCTTGCTCTGACGGTATATGAATATGTCAACTCGATTCCCAGGCGTGTGCTCCTGAATCGGTGGCCGTTTCTTTTTCTTTTTCCTTCTCTTTCTTTTTTTGCGCACTTTTTGACGGTACTCCCGTACGTAGTGCGGCATTGTCTGCGTTGCTGGACTGCGATTTCAATTAAAGGATCGACCCGACCACTCCATTCGTTGCTGCATTCCAGTCTTTGTTTAGTGGCCACACATGTTGCACATGCTGCAACTTTTTCAATCTTTCAATCTTTTAATCTTCCAATCTTCCAATCTCCAATCGAATAATGGCCGTCTTCCCGTTTGATTAACTTTCAATGCTGGGCCTGTGGCGCAGAGAGTTCTTTAAGCTTTTGGGGGGGAAGTTCGTTGACCAAAGCCGGAAACAGTTCACACTTTAGCATCCGCCACGAAAAGGGGTTAGGTGAGGCCAAGAATAGAGTGAACAATGTCAGACACTTGACACAAAGCTTAATTGCTGAGCCGGAGACCAGAGCCTGAGACAGTGCCTCGGAGTCCCCCCGAGTACCGAGTACCGTGTACCGAGTTCTGACTGTGAAAAAGCGTCAAGTGCTCTCGAGGTAATTTGATTTAATTGTGCGTGCCAGCCCCAGCCCCGGTAGCGCTCCACAGAGCACAGCCACGGAACAGCCTCTGCAACTTTTGCTCATATGTATGCCTTGTGGTCGCCTTTGTGGCATGTTGTGTGCTGCCTGCCTCATAAGAAATTTACAAGTGCAGCGGAGAACAACTGATGGCAAGGCCCCGGGCCCGATCCCTCAGTTCAAGTCCAAGTCTGTGGAGCTCTTGAACTTTGGTTGGGGCCCAGGGCCACGGGGCACTCTGGCCTTCGGGCTGCCACTTGAACTTGCCTCTCAACATCAAGTTGCAAGTTTCTTGTTGCAAGTGGTGGTGCTGCTGCTGCTACTCCTGTTCACTGGTCACCATTGTTGCGGGTTTATTAACTGTTTTTGCTGTGCCTGGATTTCCTTTTTGTTTTCCTTATTTTTGTTCTGTTGCGTCCTGCATAAATCATCAGCGCAATGGCTTTTAATGCATAATTTATTTGCAACTTTTGTGGTACATCCTCTATTTCTGTGCCACTCCCTCCCTTTCTCTGCCTCGTGTCTGTGGTTTCTTCTTTTTTTTTTTGCTTACACCAAAGCTAAGAGAATTCATGGCTGACGAGCGTTTCCGCTTCCGTTTGCAATTACACGGGAATGGCGGCTAGAATAATGGCCAGGAGACAACAGGCAACCGAGGGTCATGGCTGCCGCCGCATTAATCAATTATTCACAGTCGACGGCAGTCCATGCGGCCTAAGCATTTAATTCGTGAATTACGAAATGATTCCATACGGATGAGTAACGAACCGTGGCCAAGTGCCTATCGTCATCATAATCGTCATGTACTTCACATTTTCAGATTAAACAGTTCTGCAAGCACTCGTCCAATAATCCAGTTACCGATTGATAACCGTGTGTGTGTGTGTATTTGTGTGTGTGTGTGTGTTTTTGATTTGATGGCCCCAACTCCAATATGAAATCGGGGGATTCTCTGCTGTGCCAACGTCAATTGAAAAACGAGAAGGGACGTGTGAGACGCTTCTTACGCGTCACAACTTTTATACCCGGCACTCAGGACTACATCTAGATGTAGAAGACATCGCCAACCACTAGATATCGTTCACATTACAGAACACGTAGTAAAAGCCTACTAAATAAAATGCATCAAACAAATTAGATCAGTTAATCCTATTTTCCAATTTATGATATATTTAAAACAGCAATAAAATTGGTACATTCTTGGACCGATAGGTTTCACAGCAAATTTTTCGAAAGTGTCGCCATCTAGCGTTCAAAACCGAGTCTTGGTTAAAAGTCGGAAGAGTCAACGCCAGGGGGAGGGCAGTGGCAGGGGCCGAGTGAAGCAGAAGCAGAGTGTGAATGAGAGATTGTAAAAAGAACAACAAAAGCTGCGGGACAGGGTGGGTTAAGCCACTGGAAATTAATTTCTCCATTGTGGCTATAATAATGATCCGATCGAATCCCAATTTGGTGATCTGATAGATATGGCCATTCCCTACGGAATGTTTTCTTTTATCTTCAAAACTGTAGATTTGGGAGGTTTTCGCCCTTTTGCTGGGGCGGAAGGGGGCGTGGCTCATTTTTGAAATAAACTTGTGACAGTGTGAGCATACAGAAGTCTGGATGCAAAATTTGGTGGCTTTAGCTTTTATGGTCTCTGAGATCCAGGCGCTCAACAAGACGGACGGACAGACGGACAGACATGGCTCTATCGACTCGGCTATTGATGCTGATCAAGAATATATATACTTTATGGGGTCGGAAACGCTTCCTTCTGTGCGTTACATACAACCGTTGTTCGCACAAATACAATATACCCTATTTACTCTTCTATTTACCGGGTATAACAATTGAAAAATCGCAACAGCACCAGCAGCACCCATACGTACTCGTGTGTGAATTAATGAATGTATCAACAATATGAATAAATTAATAATGCATACACCCCGCCACCTTACTCCCCACCAAAGGCATTTCCATGGTCACTTCGATGAGGGTTAGGACAGACACATTGTGTGCATTGGTATCTGCGGAGTGTTGGCACCCGTGGCAGTGCACCGAAATGAGCTCCAAATGGAGTCCGCGCCTCTCTCCCTCGATCTGATGATGTCTGAATTTGAACGCTTAATTTATGCTTTAATTGCATATTTCGCGGTGCAATGCAAATATCCACAGGGGATGCCACACACCCCTGCTCTCTGCCGTTGCATTCCATTTAGATAACCGCAAATATTTGCCACAAACGCACATGCCATGGCAGTGACAAAATGCCAACACCCACCACGCACCAGGCACCTGTCTGTGCTGCACGAATGAACATCCCACCCACTACTGGCTCATTTCCAAGCATTTAATTTTCCTCAAAACGGAGCGGGACTGTACCCAAAACCAATTGAATTGATTGATCAACTTGAGGTTCTGCTGGAATTTATTTGGCAAGTATTTTGTACATTATTTGGAGGGCTATTGGGCCCGATGCTGCTTGGACAGCCGCTGGCCAGGCAGCAAGTAGAGATTTTGCTTTCGCCTTAGCGATCCCAAGGAGACAATTTCACGCAGGAGCTCGCGCACCTGTCGCTTGAAGTCGGGATCGCTGCGATGATGTCGGTCGCCCACGCTGGCGATGATCTCTGTGTCGGTCATCGGTCCCCGGCCATCCATCACCACAAAGAGGATGCTCTGGGTCAACAATCTGGGCTCCACTGGCCACAGCTGGTTAAGGGAACTGATATTGAAGCAGGATGTCATTTTAACCCTGCAACGATCCCACGATCCTTCCGTCCAAGCAAACAAAATTTTGAAACCGAAAGGTTTGTGTGTTTTTCTCTCTCTCTTTGTGTGAGGCGAAAGTGCCGAGAAATGCTTTCCACCCTGACACTGACAGTTTAGGCACAGCCCTCTGTCTCTCTGTCTGCCTGGTTTTGTGTGTGGCTTCCCCATGGCCAATTAATCAGGAGACGGCAATGGCTGACTTTGTAGCAGATTTGAACTTAAGTGACCTCCAGGCATATAAAAACGAAAACTGCGACAACAAAGGCTCCACGTACGTAGAGCGAAGTAGGAAGCGCTCCAACAGGGAAGCCGCAGCACACAGGCTTCCACCCAACAAACTTCAAGTGACATTTGAGCAAAGACAAAAAGTCATTATCACGGCGACGTTGTGCCGCACTTGGTTGGCTCTGCCTTAGCCTTAGACTGAGACTCAGCCTCAGCCTTAGACTATGCCTCTCTGTTGCTGCCACTGCCTCTGCTCTCCATGTGCAGCATATGGGAGCACGAACACGAGCCACGTGATTGAGGCAGCGGCCGTCGCCAGCTCTGTCGCCATGTTTTTTGCCTTTTCCGGCATTTTGTTTACGATTTCTTTTTGTTTCTATATGTGTTGTGTGTGTGTGTGTGTGTGTGTGTCTGCTCTAGCCGGAGTACGCGGATTTCCTTTCGAGATGCCGGAGTTGGCAGACGGCAGGCAGTTTTCCCTGAATGATTTTCACTTGTTTGTCCTCGTTGGCAGCTTTTGTTCGCCGTAGAAGGCCGACCAACAGACCGACCGACAGATAGAGAGACAGAGAGACAGAAAGACAGAGAGACACCCGGTTCCCTGTTTTGTGCCCCGACAAGTGCAATTGTCATAAAGTGTCATTGGCTGACGTCGCGCAGCGTCGTGGCAGCATCCAGGCGGTGGCAGTACGAGTATCCTCGTCATCCTTCAGTTCTTTGTCCGCAGTTGTGGGTGCGGTGAATCAACTTAAATGAGTATCCGCTTTGTAACTACAAGTGCGTGGCTTCGCTTTGTCCCTTTCCGTTCCCCTTCCCCCACACCACTTGGGATTCTGAGGCTGAGGAGCAATTGGCTTTGTGTGCGATTTAGCTTTGTTTTCTGGACTAGGGTCTAGGTCTAGGGCCTGCCACCGCAGCGACGAAGGGGGTAATTGTAATGGTAATGGCAATGGAAATATAAATGGAAAAGAGAACCAGGCTATCGTATGGCTGCTGTGTCTGTCTGTCTGTCTGTCTGTGAGAAGTCATAATCCCATAGCCTTGCTTACTCTTACTTAATACCCCTTTAGAAAGGTTTCCCCCACGACCCAAGAATGTATGGGAAATCGCTTGGAAGGAAAGTCATTTCGATGGCTGAACCAAAGCAAACAAAATTATGATATTCGTACACAGAAAACATCCAATAAGATACGTCAACGATGAGTTCTGGCAGAGCTGGTTGTCCGCTTGATTTTGGTGGACAGAACAATGAGCTTTGCCTTGGTCTAATCAGTTAGGCAGCTTTTACGCGCCATGCAAAACTGTACTTTGCTGAACGAGCGGAAAGAAGGAAACTTGATTTATGCCGCAACACTGTTGCAACCAAAAGAAGGCAAGGGAACAGGAAGGGGGACGCCTTTAAGCGGCTTATAGAGCTGCTTCTAAGCGAATTATGCTGCATCGCGGCAGGAGGCACGCAGCAGGACTCTGCTGGCTGGACCATGTGGACCGAGTGGCAGCCGGTCATGCGCCATTCGATTCGGTGGCCGTAGCCTTTTCTTTTCGTACAGCTTCAGGTGGAGAGTTCTATCTAGCAAACAAAGTCCTCTGGGATGTCTGGGAACCGAATAGCATTTTTCGCGAATTGAATGAAAACAATTACAAGAGAGAGACTGAAGGGGCGGCACCAGAGGAGCACACATAAATGCCACCGAGGAATGATAAATTGACGGAGAGAGAGCGAAAGAGTGAACAGCGCGACTCGCGATGGGATTACATTTGGGGATATGATTGCATATGGGAATGAGGACATGGGGCTGGAGACTAGGACTGACGCGGGCTTTGCCTAGAATTCGACGCAGACGACGGGCGACATTGAGCAATTGCTGTGCATAAATATTCCAACACTCCCGGACACAGAAACAGAAACGGACACAGACAGGAACAGGGACAGGGATACTCACATGAAGGGCGACAACCACCTGTCAGTATGGGGGGAAAAGCACAAACAAGCAGCGCAAATCAAAACAAGAAGCAGGGGGAATCCACCGGCGAAAGTCGCTAAGAGAAAGTGTGTGCCGGCCGGCGGCAACATGCTGCCAGGACTTGCGATGCACAGGACCTGCGCAGTGCGCACTGAACCCACCAGCCACATTGCTGCACAGTTCGAAACGTTGCGAAACATTTTCGAACTGACTGTCGAACGTCGGTGACGAGTGCCACCGAAACTACACGAGGAGCGGCTGCACTTGCGTGGTGGGAAGCAGCCGGCCGAAAGCCGAGGACACAAACGTGGAGCCGAATGAGCACCGAGAATGAATCCTCGGAGGATGTTGAAGATGTAACAATAAAAAACTAAATTTTACTCACTCATTTTGGCACAGTTAACCACTTGAATAAAACCACAAAATTAATTAAACCAACCGCACAATTTGGTCCTTTTGTATGTTCATTACATGAAAACGTTGTGGGTGTTCGCACAAATATCACTTAAATATATGTTTGTATACATAAAACAATGCTTGAAAGCAAATGCTCAGGGACTCAAACCCGAATAACCCGAGTGCGCTTAGCGAAAATAATGGAGGCAGTCCAATGATTGCCGATTAAAATTATAATTTATAAAGACAAAACGAGAAGGGACGTGTGAGACGCTTCTTACACGTCACAACTTTATACCCGGCACTCAGTACTACATCTGCACCTTAGCGGTGTTTTGTCAAATTTTAAATTTTTTTTCATCTGTCATCTACATCTACAACACTTCTCACATTAACACGCTCCTTAAGCTCGCCGCCCTTCCCTAGACCCACACACAGCAGACTCGCTGCAGAGGCAGAGGCCGCTGACTACACGAAGCTGAGTGTGAAAGAGAATGTGAAAAAAAAACAACAAAAGCTGCGGGACAGGGTGGGTTTAGCCACTGCAAATTGATTTATTCATTATGGCTATAATAATGATCCAATCTGATCCCAATTTGGTGATCTAATAGATATGGTCTTTCCCTACGGAATGGCGTTTTTCTTTTCTTTTATCTTCAATGAGCGTGGCTTATTTTTGAAATACACTTGTAACAGTGTGAGCATACAGGAATCTGGATGCATAATTTGGTGGCTTTAGCTTTTATGGTCTCTAAAATCCAGGCGCTCAACAGGACGGACGGACAGACGGACGGACAGACAGACATGGCTCATGGCGTTTCCTTCTGTGTGTTACATACATTCACTTTGTGCACAAATACAATTTACTCTTCGAGTGCCGGGTATAACAAAAATGTTGATGGCAGTTTCTATTGAGAATTTCACTTAAAAGGCAAGCAATAAGGAAAAGTACATTTTATTCATTTGTGATTTCTTCCAGCTTGTCAAACATTAACGTTGTCCTTCATAGAATTGTAGCAGATACGTTCAAAAATGGCAAACAAATTCACCCTTTTCCGAATCGATTCAGACCACTTTTTTAGGTACAAAGTTTCGTAGATTATATGTAAATATCTATGGAAATGCGCATCTATTTCCGAGCTCTTTAATTGGATTAACGGATAATTCAGCGCTATGTTGAATAGCCCATTTGGCGGCATAATTACTGCAAAATTCCATATTAATGACTCTTTACTTAAATCGCTCTCACATGAATGAGTTTGCATTATGCATTAAAGCCGGGCAGAGAGCAGTAGGAGGGCAGGAGGTGTTGGACATACTCGTTTATGAATATATAAATCTGTCTACCAACAATACATACAATAACTCCTTATATTTTACATATATCGCGGGTGTATATACATACACATACATATACAATGTACATATGTATATTTTTGTGTGAAATCGGTGTGGAAAAACAGTGTTTAATTAGCATATGGCGGCAATTAATTAATTTGCAGAGCAACCGGGCAACGTGCAGCATTTTCTGGCATGGCCCTTGGCTCCGGCTACACCCACCCACGCTCCTTATGCAATTTTCATATTAAATCAAAGATTATTCTATAATTAAATGTGCACACACACAAAGCGCGACAGACAGACAGTGGGGGTACCATCCAGAGAGAGTGTGTGAGGAAGTTCCTTCTTCATTTTCAGCTGGTAGTTGGATTGGGAATGCCCCCTACGGCTCTCTCCAGCTTGGCATCAACTTACATCTGAAATCAATAAATAAAACTTGCTGCAGTGCACTTTGGCAGAGCTCCTCGATGGATGGACATTGAGAGCATTCGCAATGGGTTAATTGGCGACTCCAATCAACGGAAATCGCATGGAAAATCCATTCAAAATGTAAGCGAAAAATGATATTAATGAGCGCAAAGCCATTCCAACAGGCCAACATCCGTATCGGACGGATAGATGTTTGAGTTTGCCCGTGGCGGATGTTGGTTTTGGGTCACCGCAAAAAGCGTTGACAGCATAATCGACTTTCACTTAAAAAACAGTAGCGAATGTGTTAATTGAATCACACATTATCATCGCAGTCCAAAACGTTCGCATTCGAAGCAGTTGTTCGCAAATTGCACAATTATTTGATTTAATTTTTACTTTGCTATGCAAATGTTTTTGTTTGTTTTGCAAGACTTACAGCTGATCACTTCAATGGTTCCAAGCCTCTTCCCCTGGCTAAACGTTCGCTGCCTTTATGCTACTCCCACGTATACACATGCAGCCCAGTATAATTAATCTTACTCTATAAGATACATTACAATACGTGGAGTATCTTTTGCATAATTTCCATAACAAGCAAAATTCGCTTCGCTTCGAAATTAGTCAAAAGTGAAGCCTCAAATCGAAGAATGGGTGCGTGGCATGTCGTGGCTGAGGGCAGGCAGGGGGCAGGCTCTGCAAGTCATTCCAAGTTCATTGACATGTCATCCATCTCAATTTGCCGCTCCCCAACGGGCAGGAAGGGGCGTAGTGCTCGTGGGGCGTGAGTGATGCATGGCAGAGGCAGATTGGCAGAGGGATGCTCCACATACTCGAGCTCTTTCGTCTGAAATGACACACTTTACGAGCAGTGTTTGCCTCATTTTTAATGCAAATCAATAAATTTATATACAACAATGAAAACATTTGAATGGCCTGCACAGCTGTGCTGTCTATGTGGCAAGGACAGTGGCAAAGACAGGAGCTGGACCAGGGCCAGCCCGCGGGCACTTCCAGTTTCGCTTCAGCTTTTTATTTCAATTTCCGCCCACAAACCCCTGCAAGCAAACACACACAAAAAAAAAAGGAAAAAGAAAAGACAAATACCAAACAAAAGACAACAACAAAGACAAATTTATGCCACATTAACAGCTAAAAGCTTTCAAAATGCGTTTTGCTTACGCCAGAGGGGGTTCAAGTTCGAGTTTGAGTTTGGGTTTAGGGTTCGGGGTTCGGGTTCGGGTTCGAGGGGGAACTCAACCCAAAATGCGATGAAAAATTCTTTGCCGAGAGTATGACCAAATTGTTGGCACATCTTGTACACTTGTACAGTTTCTCCGCACCACACCCAAAAACGAAAGCATTAAATTTAACGCGCCAAAAACTTGTGCCATTTCGGAATTCTGGATTCTGGATTGTAGGATGCGATGCCTTCTGCTCTCGTTTGTTGCCAAAAATTTCAGTTAGCTCATTCGTCGACTTGTCCCATCAGCCGGTTACCCTGACCAATGCCACACAGAGGAAAAAATGGCAGAGTCCTCAAAAATACTTATAAAATATTCGGAATTCCGAGGCATAGCAACTAACTACCGCTGATATTTCACCAATACTGCGATACGTGTGCCGACAATTCAATTGTTTCGACTGGCGCTTTGTTTTTTCCAGTGCAGGCATTCGGTTGAGTCGGATTGGGTCTGGTTGGTTTGGTATCGGAGGCAGAGGCATCTTGTAACGTCAAAAGTGCAGCTCAAAACTTCAGCGCGAGAAGTGTGGCAGCAACACCCGTGCGTTTTAGCCGCCGGCTGCGTGGCAACACCGCGCCCTCACCCTCCACCACCGCCTCCACACAGCCAGGGTAGACATCCTGTCCTTGCATGCGCTAAAATTAAGATTTATGAAGGCTCTAAAAAACAACAACGTCACCAACGCCCAAATTTCCAGTGGCAGTTAGAGTGTGGGAGCGTGAAGGAGAGGCACAACGAGGTAGTGAAAGAGAGAGACAAAACCATAAGCAATGAATGCGCCAAAAATTTGAGCACACAAATGATTACAAATGAGAAGTATGGCGACGGGTGGGAGGCGCCGGTGGAATGAGAACGAGTGAGTGGCACATTGTGCTCGTTTCATTCCATTCCGTTTCGTTCTGAATTATGTCATTAGCTAATTTGCATGTGACATCATCGCACGACTGCAAAAACACTGAAGATGACAGCAAAAGTTTCCATTGGATTGCTGGAAAGTGAGTTCCATGCAGTGCTTAAACCCATTCCACATTCCAAACCAAACCGAGATCATACAATATGTTGTAAGCCCTAATTCCGAACCAAATCGAATCCAAATCGCAGAATAAATTGGATTGCCTGTATTACTGCCACAGTTCGCATAATTAATTATCCCAAAACAGGAAACCAAATTTAATTCACAATCAAATAAATATGTTTTAATTTTCACCATGATTTCATTATACACATTATGGACACAAACCAATTGCACCAAGACAAAATGGACATAAAGGGTCTGGGCATAGTGAGAGAGAGATCGACATAGATAGGTTCGGTTTTCTCGTTAATTGTTTGCTTCACTTATAAAACTCGATGAACAACATTTCGTGCCCTAAATTGGCCTCTGGTCTGACTTTCTTTGACACTCAAGTGTTGGATAACTAGCGCTCTGGAGGGAAGTTTTATCAGTGATGGGAGTGGGTGCGGGTGCTCGCTCTGTGAAGCCGAATGTGAGACGGTGAATTGCAGGGACCATTAACTTGCCATTAGGATGCACCTAACGACCCACCAAAATGCCACCTAATGAACCGCAGATGTGCAGCCTTCTTTATGAATGAACCACCAAATATTTGTTGATATTATTTCCATTTTTGGTGGATGCGGACCCCACCCTGGCACAAGTAACATTTGATAATGATAATGACTTGGGCAAAACAACATTTAAATGCTAAAAAGAGCAGAGCGCCCAAAAATGAAATAAAAGTGAAAAAAATAAATAAATCTTTGCACACAGCAGAGAAACGGAGAAATTATGGCACTGGCCGACGTCCTTTGGGTAGTGCCTTGGCCATGGATCTGAGATTAATCAGAGCAGAAAAGAATGTTCCTAAACGCCTGTGTTCGAGCATCAACCATTGTGTAGAATATGGAGCGGCGGGCACTTTCACTCACAGACCGAACTGGAGGCAACTCCGGACTCTGGACTCCGCATTCGAACCCGTCAAGGGGCAAATTAATGTCCATATTGACATTGTCCATATCATTTAGCCCTGCTAAGAACTAACGGTG